AAAGTGAACGGAGGACCCTGGCGTGTTCGGTGGATACTGAGAGGGACTCGTAATGGCTGGAATAGGGCAGTGCAACAATCCCCATCACAGTCGCTTCAGTTCTCATGGAGTATTCACTTGAGCACATTTAACTCCAAGTCAAAATCTGTAGAAAGTGAACGGAGGACCCTGGGGTGTTCGGTGGATACTGAAAGAGACTCGTAATGGCTGGAATAGGGCAGTGCAACAAGCGTCGGTTCAGTCGGTTGAATTCTGACTGAGTTATCACTTGATCACATTTAACTCCAAGTCGAAATCTGTAGAAAGTGAACGGAGGACCCTGGCGTGTTCGGTGGATACTGAAAGAGACTCGTAATGGCTGGAATAGGGGAGTACAACAAGCGTCGGTTCAGTCGGTTGAATTCTGACTGAGTTATCACTTGAGCACATTTAACTCCAAGTCGAAATCCGTAGAAAGTGAACGGAGGACCCTGGCGTGTTCGGTGGATACTGAAAGGGACTCGTACTGGCTGGAATAGGGGAGTGCAACAATCCCCATCACAGTCGCTTCAGTTCTCATGGAGTAATCAATTGGTCACATTTATTTCGTATGCAAAATCCATCAAGAGTGAATGGAGGACCCTGGGATATTCGTTGGATTATAAAGGCGACTCACAATGGCTGGAATAGAGGAATGCAACAATCCTCATCAAACTCGCTCCAGTTCTCATGGAGTAATCACTTGATCATATTTATTTCCTAAGCGAAATCCGTAAAAAGTGAACAGAGGACCCTGGCATGTTCAGTGGATACTGAATGGAACTGGTAATGGCTGCAATGGGTGAGTACAACAAGCTGCGATTGAGTCGCTTCAATTCTGAGTCAGTAATCACTTGATCACATTTAATCATGACTCACAATCAGTAGAACGTAAACGGCGTACTCTGGGGTGTTCGGTGGATATCGAAAAGGACTCGGAATGGCAGGAATAGACGAATCCACCATTTCCCATCCCAGGTGCTTCAATTCTGACTCAGTTATCACGTGATCACATCTGATTGCTGGTTGAAATCGATGGAAAGTGAACGGTGGACTCGGGCATGTTTGGTGGATACTGAGAGGCACTCGTGTCGGTTTAGATTGGGGAGTGCAGCAATCCCCATCACAGTCGCTCCACTTCTGAGTAAGTATTCACTTGATTACATTAATTGCCAGTCAAAAAGCTTAGAAACTGAATGGGGCACTGTGGTGTGTTCAGTGGATTCTGAAAGGGACTCGTGATGGCCGGAATGTGGGAGGACAACAATCCCAATCACAGTCGCTTCACGTCTGAGTCAGGAATTGCTTGATGAGGTATAATTGCAAGTTGAAATCCATGGAAACCCAACGATGGAGTGTGGCAAGTTCGGTGGGTACTGCATTGGCCTCGTAATGGAAGGAATAGGGGAGTCCAACAATCCCCATCACAGGCGCTCCAGTTCTGAGTCAGTAATCACTTGATCAGATATTGTTCCAAGTCAAAATTAGTAGAAACTCAACAATGGACTCTGGCGAGTACGGTGGGTACTGAATCAGACTCGTAATGGATGTAATAGGGCAGTCCTACAATCCCCATCGCACTCGCTTCACATCTGAGTCAGTAATCCCTTGATCACACTTGCGCACTCGTCAAAATTAGTAGAAACTCAACGGTGGACTCTGACGAGTACGGTGGTTACTGAATCAGACTCGTAATGCATGGAATAAGGGAGTCCAACAATTTGCATCACAGGCACTCCAGTTCTGAGTCAGTAATCACTTGATCATGTTTAATCAGTAGTTGAAATCCATAGAAAGTGAATGGAGGACTCTGGTGTATTTGGTGGATACTGAATCAGACTCGTACTGGCTGGAATAGGGGAGTGCAACAAGCGTCGGTTCAGTCGGTTGAATTCTGACTGAGTTATCAGTTGATCACATTTAACTCCAAGTCGAAATCCGTAGAAAGTGAATGGAGGGCCCTGGTGTGTTTGGTAAATACTTAAAGACATCTATGAATTGAGGTGGCCTGTCAGATGCGAGTGAAAGAGCGGAGTTTGAAATGTTGAATCTCCTCATGAAAGTGGTGAAGAATGGTATATAAGTGAACATGAGGGAGGAATGATTGAGTGGGAGGGGAAAACAGTGTCTACACCGAGAGGAAGAGGCGAGGATGTTCTCCGAGAAAACGCCGAAACCGATTCTGAGAAGGAACGGGCACAAGGTAAGAGTGCAAATCAGTAATAAGGAAGAAGCGAATGGTAGGGCAGAGTGGCTGACCGATGGAGACAGGCAGGAGAGTGGGTGGGGTGTCGAGTATATGGAGATCCTGAAGATCCGCCTGTGTGGATTGAGGCACAAGTGCAGGTGAGTGATGGAGTTGAAGTGACTTGAACGCGATCTGAAGCGGAGGGAGCAGGGGGTTGCATTCAACACGAAAGGCGAGGTTGTGTATGAAGTGAAGGAGAGAGATAGTGGCAAGACGACGTTCTTTCGAGAGAGTGACTTGTGTGACGTGGGACGGGTGAAGGCTCGAAACCAAGGTGTGACATTTCAGGAAGGGGAGCGAGAGGGTGCTGAGTGGGATGAGAATGCGTGCACGGAGTATAACATAGGGTACTGGTAGCCTGCGAGTGACACTTGAAGTTGTGACGACTGAGAGCACGAGCGAAGGGTGGATCGTCTGAGGACGGTTCGAGTGCGAGAAGGAGAAGACAACGAGTCAACGAGTCAGAGAACACGAATACCGCGGGTGCAGAATGTGGGCAGCAACCGTCCCGGGACGGTTGGGGTGCAGGTGATGATGAATGTGAGTTCAGGGATGCGACGCGGCAGAAAGTGGGGGGCTATCGTCCTGGGACTATTGGGGTGGCGAATTGGACAAATGTGAATAGGAGCAAGAACCACGGGCAATCGTCCTTGGACGGTCGAGGGTGCATTCAGGAGTGGATAAGTCTATTATCATTATTAAACGTCTGAAGAGCGACTAACTAGAAGCGAGACAAGTAAAGTATTGGAAGGAGCATATGAACTCTGGATGAAAACAACAAAGCTAGCTCTAGGTTGTCCTGAGCTTCTTTGCGCTGGAAGGGTCTCTTAACTGAGAGGCCTTGGCGCGTTTTGCAGTGGGGGCGAGCTCAATGTCGTCGTCGCCGCTTATGTCTTCGTCGTGAGCGGCGAGACTCTCTGAGGGGAGTTGGGTGACCTCGCCACGAGCGGCCATTGCGTCAGCGCGATCCTTACCGATGATCTTGACGATGGTGCGATAGGGACCGATGGTGGACATATCGGACTCGAATGAAGCCCATATGTTCCTGAGCTGGGCGCGGGAGTAGAAGGACCACTCGCCGTCGCCGGGGGAGTGAGCAGTGAATCTGGCGGACTCGTTGAGCTTTGCGCCTGAGCCGTGAGCGAGACCCATTCTGATGAAGGCGCGACAGTTGAGACCCTTATGACCTATTGAGGGAGGTTGATTAGGCATCGGATCAAAGGAGGGAGGGGGAAGAAGAGAGACTTGCCATGTTTTCTGGTCCACTCTTGACCCAAGTAGCCGGTGGACGCGAGATGCTGTCGGAGGGGGGAGTCCCTTGAGATGCAGGCGAGCATGTAGACAGGAAACATAAGGGCGAAGGGAGGGCCTGCTCGAGTGCCAGGCTGTGTATACTTCTCCCAAGGAGCGTCGCGAATCATCTTGAGGACGGCGTTCTTGTTTGACCAATCGAAGGACTTGGGCAGCTTAGGTTGGGAGAACTTGTGAAAGGGGACTTGCTTTGCGAAGAGGGCGCCGAAGAAGAATGCGAGTTTGACTTCTGGGTCGCGCATTGTGAGTTTACCTTTGCCCGATCTGAAGTAATCGTAGGTCTCGTAGGTGAGCGTTTCTCTGTCGGGTTTACCCATTGTGTTGGTGTCCCACTTGAGATCGCAAGGGAGAATCTCCTTGTGGAAGAACTTTGGCCAGTCCTTGATCTTGGAGGAGAAGATAGCCCAGGGAGTGCGAGTATCCTGAGCAGCGATGGGATCCTCGGGAGGGGGCGGCGGTCTGGGATCGAGAGTGAGGATGTCGTCGGAGACATCGTGCTTGCCGCCCAGGGACATCCAGTGAGAGACAGAGACGGCGGAGCCAGGACGGCCCGCTCTGCCAGTGGCAGGGCGATGATGGGGGAGGTAGTGGATCTTGCGATCGTCGAGGACGGTGATGAAGGTCTTGACGACCCACTGCTCGTCTGTGAGAGGACTGTCAAGTTTTGAGCGCACGATGTGTTTGACGATGGGGGGGACGAGACGACCGCTCCAGCCCGAGGAAGGGAAGGGAGCCCTGATAAGAGGGGGAGGGGAAAGCGAACCCTCTGCGAAGAGCCTGCGAGCGAATTTTGTTGTAGTAGAAACAGCGTCGGAGGCGATGGGGATGGAGGAGCAGGGAGGCGAGCCAGGAGTCTGAATGAGGGATGTGATGAAGGAAGCTCTATCCCAGGAGAGGGGGTAAGGGGAAGCTTTCCAGGCAGGGAGGATGGAGGTGCAAATGCGAACTGCGTCGTCATGGAGGTCGCTGGACGGGTCGGAGAGATGAGGAGACCAAGCCTTGAGTACTTCGGCAGCGACGTAGGCGATGATGTCTTCCTCGAGAGCAATGGCCCAGATGTAAGCGGCAGCGAGGGCGATGCGTTGGGGCTTGGGTAAATGGGAGTAGAGGTGACTGTTGCGGGCTGTGATTGAATGTTCGACGGCAGCGATGTACCTGTAGCGCTGAGATAGGGAATAGATGAGGAGAAGTTGAAAGATGGGAAAGGGGGGGGGGGAGGGAAACAAACCTCGAAGTGAGCGTTACCATAGGTAAGGGATTGAGCGCGACCAGATGCGAGGGCCGGGAAAAGATCCTGAGTGGGCCAGCGGTCATGGGAGAAAGTGATGGCAGTTCTGTCGCCGAGAGAGAGAGAGATGAGGAGAGGATTGAGGCAAGGGGGGCCGTCCTTGACGAGGGCGAGACCAGTCCAGAGTGCGGTCATGAGTCTGCGCTCGATGACGCGAACGGAACCTGTGTGGCAGAAGTTGAGAGCCCTCTCTAGGACGGACATGAGTTCTATGTAATAGAAAGGGACGGCCTTGCGAAGGTTGAAGTTGTTCTGCTGGACAGCGAGGAGATGGCGAAGACGTTCGATAAGGGAGGTGACAGGGAAGGACATGACTGAGAAGATCTTTGGGAAAGTCTGTGAAGGATGTAAGACCAAGGAGGGGGAGAGAAAGAGGAGAAGGGAGCGTACACCTGGAGTGAAGACGATGGATTTGCGGCAGATGTCGGACAGTGTCGTTTCTTTATTCATGTGAGCGATGACCTGGACGACGACGTTAAAAGCGGCGCTGAAGGGCAAAGATGCAACCGGTGAGGAGGATGAGTAAGGGGGGAGGAGAGAAGAATGGGAAATGAGACTGACGTAGAGCGGGTGATGTTGTCCTTGAGGTGGTCGAAGTTGAGACAGAAAGTCTGCTCATAGCGGAGGTCTATGCAAGGGTCGTCTACGGACATTCTTTGGGAGAGAGCGACGTGGGGGAGGCAAGCATGGAGGCGAGAAGCGGTGTTATGAGCGATGCGACGGTTACGATCTGAGACTGCGTAAGCCCCAGCGAGCTGGCGGGTGTTGAGGCCGAGCTGAGCCTCATGGAAGGAGGCGCGAGGGCGAACGTAGTGAGTAACGGTATTGTAGATGAGAGTCTTTGAACCTTTCATAAAAGTAGTTGCGGAGGGGTCGACGGAGGTGTCTAGAGTCCAGCCAGGGGGTTGATGAAAAGGTTTACCGTAAGCGTTGTTGACGCGAGCGATGCAGTCTTTCTTGACAGAGTCAGAGACGGTGTTGATGGAAGCGTGACCTGCGAGACGAGAGTAAGCGAGTGGGTAGAGGGAGATCTTTGGGCCGCGATATTTGCCGGCGTAGATGTGACCGTCTTCGTCGTCTGTGTCGATGTCTCTTTCTGGGTCGTCCATGCCGTAGAAGGAGGAAGCGAAGAGGGATTGAACTCGACGAAGATCCATGAGGAGGCCGCAGTCCTTTTGGTGGAGATTTTCGAAGCGTCGGGGGAGCAAGTTACGATGAATGTCGTAGATAGGACCGTGAGCATCGGGACCGAAAGCAGTGTCGTATTGTGCGAGGTCGAAGATTCTGTTGCCGTCGCAGTCGAAGACCTGGCCGTGCTCGTACTCGACGAGTCCGGGGGTCATGACCTCTATCTGTCCAATAGCCTGAGTGGCGCTGAGGGGGGACGATGAGCGAAGGTGAAAGAAGAGGAAGCGAGCACGTACTTATAGTGACTAGCGAGAGCGAAGCTGAAGAACCTGACGCTGTCCCAGTGGCGGGACTGTTTCCATTCTGCGCGTTCGGCGGGGATGTCTTCACCGAGGAGCTCGTTGTCTTGACCGTAGCCAACGGCGACGACGATAGGGAGGCTGTCTCGCATCCAAGGGTCGGTGTAGCCGGGAGGGGCGTTGTCGATCCAAGAGTCCCACCTAGCACGCATGTTCTGTGACAGACAAAGCATCTTGGCGAGGTTGCAGTGAAAGATGGGAGAGTCTGATCTACATTGCAAAAGGTTAACGGATAATATTCAGAGAGTTATGTCGAGACCGGGGCGCAATCGTCCCGGGACGATTGGGGACACTGTGAGCAGTCGCGCAAGGAAGGCCCTCGACCGTCCTGAGACGATTGGGCGTTGAAAACCGGGGGGACAGAAATATATGCCCAATCGTCCCCGGACGATTGAGTGTGCGTTACGGCCACGTAGAGAGAGAGAGTGATAAAGTGTGAGACTTACCCCAGATTGGATGCGTTCATGACGGCGGTGTGGCTGGTGAGGTCTGGATAGAGATCCCCGATGCGAGTTCCGGGGAAGGCGTCGAGCATGGCATACATGAGGAAGTGGACGATTGCGCGAGAGTGTTGGATGCTCATGCGAGTGGACCCATCGCCAGTGCCAGGCTTCAGAGGAGCCACTTGACCGTCGACGAAGTCCCTAGGGGCCATGGCGATCCATACGCGCTCCTCACCGACGGCGCCGACGTACATCATGGCTCCAGTAGGATCGAAGCCGAGGAATGCGTTGGAGAGGGGAAAGGTCCAGTGAGTCTTGCTTAGGTCGAGAGTGAATTGCCATCGCACTCCGTGGTCGTTTGGAATAACGGCCTCGAAGCCGATGGACTTTGCGACGACGCAGGTGTAGTCGATGCTATTGCGAGCCAAGGAGAACCGCAGAGAGGGGTCAGTGGGAGCGAGGACATACTTTGCGTTGGAAAGAAGGTCGGTCTTCCAACGCTTGAAGAGAATGTTCATCGCTGCCGCATCGTTGCCCTTGTTAAACCAGGACTCCAGTTTCTCGTAGGGGACCTGGGTGAGACGTGCCGCCTCGAAGCTGGCTTCGTCAGACTCCTCGGCGTGGCGCTCAGTAATGCTCTGATTCAGGGCGTCCTGACCGATGTGTCGACCTGCAGCGAGACCGACGGGGACCGCATTGAAGTCGATGCGGTTGTCGAAGGCAGCAGCGTCAGAGGGACACAGGTCCTCATCCCTGTAGAGTCCGTCTGTATGTCTACAATTGTGTATATTAAAGATGATGTGCATCACAGGAAGGGCATGACAGATTAGTACACTTACTGCAGATCATTGGTCTGGACATCATCGTCCTGTTGTAGGTCAGTGACTTCCTGGGTGTTGGGATTGGTGAGTTCGATAAATGCGCTCATGCTTGGAAGACGTGCAGACAGCAGTTGCAAAGGAGGAGAGAAATATATGAATGAATTAAGGGGGGACACGGTACATTATAAGACGGCGATATATGTAATCTTAACCGGAACCCTAAGTACAGATCGCCGCTTCTGAGTTTCAGATCGTCGAGTGTGGCAGCCCAGCGGACATAATATGTCAGGGCCACTTAGCCTATTTATTCCCAGATATAATTTGCATAGACGATGCGGCATCTAATAAATGTTGAGCAAACGCCATGACATGAGTGTTTGCTAGCAATGCAGCAAAGGGGCGACATACCTAGTGGGAGAGCTATCTTGCAGATGGCTCAGGAAGTCCAGAGTTCAAGAATGCGACGAGATTGTTCTGCAACAAGCTAGCGAGGCGAGGGCGATTCCAGGCCATGGTGGTCATGAACCACGTAAACGTCGCCCAGTCACTGTGAACGTCTGAATGAACGTAGGTAAAGCCGACGCGGTTCGCGCAACGGGCGATAACGACGGAGCCGTAGAGAACTGTGATACGGCCCTGGACGAGGCGGAAGACCGTCTGGTTGAGGTCGTCTGGTCTGCGCAAGGAGTTGGCGTCGAGACTGATCCAGAAGCGCAGGGCGTGTGGGAGTCGTGCGCCGGACGGTCCAAGAGCGATTGTTTCAGAGAGCGTTGTCGCGTGTCCGAATGTGGCGGTCAAGTCGGGTGTCATCCACTGCGGGCCAGTGAGAAGGCGGCCCACTCGTCTCGTAAATGCGATCGAGATCGATTGAAGGGCGCCTGCCGAGATCGACGCGCAGTTGCCAATAACGGCCCGCGGAGCATGAGTTGGACGCACTATACGAAGCGGAAAGCGAACGTACCGAGACGCGGCCCGCCGGGAATATAAACGCACATTAAGTGCTCGATGCCGCAGTATTGGTCTGGCATGTGCGCCAGTCGGTCTTCAAGGAACTCGATGTATGTGGCCATCAAATCCATTCGATGGCAGTCCGGATGGTGTCGAAGGATGTCCTGCAGCGTATCAATAGTAAGGCAATAGATGTCAGACACACAAAATGTTCGAGAGGGAGTTTCGTGCATGAGGCGCACCTGCTGTTGATGAGTACTGCAGCAGTAAGTGGCGAGACGACATCCCATGCACCAGATCGAAGCATCCGCGCCGCATGTAATGCAATTAAGGACGACCGACTCGATGGGCGGCGGGCTCGCGGAAGGCCGCGTCACATACGGATAAGCAGACATGGATAATATTATTGAAGCGTGACGGATGCCACGACTATTGCTTTTATCCTCCGCCGAACGTAAAGGGGCGCTGTGCGCAACCCATTGTGTGCCGTGACAATGGACCATCGGACTATGTACGGGAGGCATCTTTCCTATACGTTCCATTGTATCCTCCATCGTCCAATCACAACGTCACACACAGCCGAGGGATTAAGATTACATTCTATAGCTATATTCTGAAGGGACAGTGGTGATCATCGCAGCACAGCTACCGTCCCGAGACGATAGGTACCGCATATCTGTAGTGCCAATACGTGGTAGCTATCGTCCCGGGACGATAACCAGGCATACGCAGGGGTGAGTAGATAAGCACGCAGCCGTCCCGGGACGGTTGAGGGGTAGCATCAGATGCCGCACAGTGGTCATCAACCGTCCCGGGACGGTAGCATGCATGTCCACTCATACCAGTGTATGCCTAGCTATCGTCTCGGGACGGTAGCTACCACGTATTGGCACTACAGATATGCGGTACCTATCGTCCCGGGACGATAGCTATGCTGCGATGATCCCTTCAGAATACAGCTATAGAATGTAATCTTAATCCCTCGGCTGTGTGTGACGTTGTGATTGGACGATGGAG